TGTAAGTTCTTACTTTGTTTTCAAAGCTTCCACAGTTAATAATATTTTCAATTAATATTATTTTCTGTGTTTATCTTTATAGTCTTCAAATTTTAATTTATGATAATTCAATTATTTTCATTAATTTGTATTCTCATTTTAATTAAATTTAGTGATCTCATAATTTTTTATTTGTATAATTTATTCACCTACATTAATTTTCTTTTATTTGTATAATTTATTCACCTACGTTAATTTTCTTTTGAATTTATGATTAATTTATTAGTTTCAATTTGCATCCATTCATTAATTTATTTTATTCATTATTTCTTTATTTTTTATTTTTTAGTTGCTCAAGTCATCTTCCAAGTCAATTACTTGGTCATACTCTTCATCCTCTTCCGTAGCTAGCTAATCTATTTCCTCTTCCAAGTCTTCAAAGTCTTCAAATTATTAAATACACAAACCAACTCTTAAAGTCAAGCTTCCATTTATAACTAGTTAAAAATCCTTTTTAATCTAGTTCTTCTAGATGATAGGTCCTAGTCCCCTTCTGGTATCAGAGCCGTAAGAGTTGAAAGAGTTGAGTCTAAGTCTGCTTCTCATATCGCCCAAGTGGCTGATTTAAGTCTTCTGAGTTAGCAAGGTTCCCAAATTTCTTCAAAGTTAGTAAGCCTCCCAAGTTTCTTCAAAGTCTACTCCTAGTTATCTAGTTCCTTAGGTTCATCTCTCTCAAAAGTCCGTAAGGTGAGACCTTTTTACCAAACAGTAAGTCCCAGGTAGAGGCATGAGCGGTTAGGCACGAGAAGGTGAGAGAGAGAGACAACCCATAGGTTCTTAGGTATCTTAGAGTTAGTCTTAGGAGTTACCCAAGAGTCTTTCTTTTCTTTTTCTTTACTTGACATGGCTCTGGCTTTTTATCCTGTAAAAACTCTCTTGTAAGAAAATCTGGAATACTGTTTTCGCTACCTCTCAAATATTCTAGCTCAAAGTCAAAAACACTCAGTATTGCTTGCCATCGTGCAAAAATTTGCTTACTAGCTATATTTTGAACATCTTTTTCTAAAATATGTTTTGCAGACTTGCAATCAACTCTAACTAAAAACTTTTGATTCAACAAATCATCTTGAAATTTGCTTATACATAATACAATAGATAAAATTTCTTTTTTAATAGTACTATAATTATTTTGAGCTTGATTCCAGGCACCGGAATGAAAACGAACAATTTGTTCAGGAGACTCAAGGCTTATTCTTTGTTTTAAAATACCACCATAACCAATATCAGAGGCATCTGTTTCAACAATTTTAAAAGAATTGACTGAAGGAATACCTAGACATGGGAGAGACTTGACATGAATCTTAATTTGCTTAACTATTTCTGTATGACTCGGAGTCCAGGCAGGAGGATTGCTCTGGAGACGATCAAACAGGGGCTTACATAATTTTCTCAGATTTTGATAAAAATCATAAACATAATTTAAAGAACCTAAAAACCTTTGAAGTTGGCTTTTTTCAAGAATTTGATCTGAAAATTTATCAGCAAACTGGATTACTCGATTGATTGGGCTTATTTGGCCTTGGCTTATGTTGAATCCTAGAAACCTGACATTGACCTGGAATAACTTGATCTTCTTAGCTGAAATAACTAAACCATTAGTTTCAACTATCTGTAAAAACTTAGGTAAATGCTTCCAATGTTGTTCTATTGACTCGGAAAAGATAAGAACATCATCTATGTATACTATGGAAAAATGACTGTAAGCATTAAAGATTTCATTCATAATATTCTGGAATTCACTAGGGGCATTTTTTAATCCAAAAGGCATAACATTCCATTCATAATGACCAAAGGGGGTAACAAATGCAGTCTTATTGATTCCTTAATTTGAATTTGCCAAAAACCACTTTTCATATCAAATTTACTAAAAATTACTGCATTTTCTAATCTGTTGACTAAATCTCTTTTATTAGGAATTGGGTACCTAATCCATTCTAAAACTGAATTAAGGGGCTTATAATTAATAACTAGGCGTGGGGCTCCTCTTTCTAGCTCAGCATTTTTCTGAACATAAAAAGCTGGACAAGACCAGGGTGACTTACTTTTCCTAACTATTCCTTTGTTGACTAGATCCGTGACTTCGGCTTTGCATAATTCCATTAACTCTTGGCTCATTTGAATTGGACGGGCTTTGGTAGGAATATTATTTTCACTAAAGGATTTGACATAAGGTAAAGAAACGACATGTTGTTTACGGTGCCAAAAGGCATTGGGCATATCAGAACAAACTTCATTTTTTAACTTATCTTCAAATTTACCTATTTCTAATTGGAGTGACTTGTCGGTTAACTGCTGTTCTACCCTTTTAAATTTAATTTCTTCTTTTAAAAAGTTAACTTGGCTTGTTTTACTCTGAATTAACTTAACTGACTTAGAAATAGCTGACTTTTGTAATGACTTAACACTACTACAAAAAGGGCAAAAGACGACCAGTAAACAACGACGGTAGATCAACAAACCGTCATTGTTTTTTAAAAGACGACGGTAATAGAAACCCGTCGTAGAAACATACTTTAAACACCTAAAAAACGGCACACGTATAGATATTTTGAAACCACGACGCACCAAATTAAAAAAGCGTCGTCTTATTACAAAGGTATTTTCAGAGTTAAAATCTGAACCTAAAAACAACGACTGCATCTATGAAAAATAAAATATGCTTTAAGACATCCTTTGTCCTTATCCAGAATATCACGGATGAAGTAATTTTAAGGGTATATATATATATATATATATAAGTTGAATGATTCAAGCACATACAATTTCCTCCTAACTTCCTAAATCACACACAAACGCTCACGCCTTTTTCAACAACCAAGGACATCCAACATATATTTTTAAGGGCATCCCACACAGCCCCACTCCAATTAACAAATACCATCCCCTGGAATTTCTTTATTTTATTTCACATAAGTGGTGAAGTGTCTAATTTATCCCTTATTTGGGAGGTGACATCACTAGTTTACCCTTAATATTAATAGAAAATTACACAAAATTCTGATGAAAATAAGATACAAGTGAAAGTATACAAACAAATAGAATTTTAAAATTGAACTGAGT